AAACCCCGACCTGAGGCAAGCATAGAAATCTTTTCTATAGCACAGATCCAATCCCTGCTTGAGAAACAACAGAGGACTGTGAAAAGGGCTCTGGATTTGGAGTCAGGGCACTTGGGTTTGAAAACCAATTTACTGCAATTTATTCTGCAACTTACTGCCGGCATCATCTCATGGAAGTCACCTATCTCTCTCTCTCTCCCCACACCTCCCTCCCTCCCCTCTCTCTTTTAAATTCTTATCTTCATTTATTTTTAACTTTTTTTTCCCATCTCTTTCAGCCTTAGTTTCCTGCTCTTAAAAGAGGAGTGGGTTGGACTGGACGGTTTTCTAGGATCCCTTCCTCCCCAGGGAGGGGGAATCCTGGGACCTCCTGCAACAGAGAAGTCGCTCTTCCCTGAGGCAGTCTGCTCCGTTTTTGGACGACTCTGGACTGAGGAGTTCCCTCCTGCTGCTGAGCTGAGAACAGCCTTGGCTTGGATTCTGCCCTCTGGTGCCATGAAGCATAAGCCTACGCTTCCCATGGGACAAATGCTTCAAATACTTGAAGACAGCAATCCTGTCCTCCGAGTCTTTTCTTTTAAAGGTGGAACATCCCCAATCCCTCTGAGCAGCTCCTGTACGACACGGTTTGCAACCTTCCTCCTCATTTCCCATTACTCTCCCTAACGCATAATGCATTCTGTGTTCTGGCCAAACCGGTTCCCTCGCCGCTTCCCCACAGATGACATCCTCCTGCCTTTGTCACCCTGCACTGGTGGCTTCTCCTTTGCCTTCCGTGCCCGGATGCTCTCTTGCTTTGGCACTACCTTTCAGAGTCCCTGGCTGCATTCAAGGCACAGCTCAGCTCAACTACCCTTCCTAACAGGAGACCCTTCCAGATTTCCCCAACAGTTGGCACTCCTCTGCCAGAAATCACTGGGTGTTTACTTATTTGTGTTCATTATTGTTTCCTCACGGTAGCATACAAGCTTTTAGATGGCAGGGAGTGTTTTCAATTTTGCCTTTGTAGCCTCACCCAGCACAATCTTTGGCACACACAGGAGGTGCTTAATAAGTGCTTGTTAAACTGAATTGAGTTTTCACCACTTTTGGGACACAATACACTAGACAGGATCTAACTACCTCATAGGAAGTAGCAAGTAGCCCAGTGGATAGAGCGCTGGACCTGGAGTCAGGAAGACCTGAGTTCAAATCTGACCCTTACAAGCTGTGTGACTCTGGGCAAGTCACTTAATTTCTGCTTGCCTCAGTTTCTTCAACTGCAAAATGAGGATAATCATAGCATCTATTTCTCAGGATTGTTATGAGGATCAAATGAGAGAATATTTGTAAAGCGCTTAGCATAGCATGTGACACACAGTAGACAGTATATAAATGTCTATTTCCTTCTCCTCTATTCTGTTTTCAGAAAGCTCAGATTGTTCTTCCTCAAACTCACCTACAATGTGCCTGCCTGTAATTTCCACCCATTGGCTCCAATGACGATGCCCTTCCCCCTACTTCTGACTTTCTTCCGGTACTCACTGTCACTACTCAAACAGAACCAGGCATGTCATCCTTATACAACACTCCCTTGGGAGCTATTGCCAGTATCAGGCTCTATTTTATCAGGGTGCACTTGGAAGAGGGGGTAGAGTATCCTACGGCAGTAGCTTACGTGGGTCGCTCAGTGCGCCTGTGAGCCCAAGGCAGGACGAGGCTCTTTGGGGATTGGAGGATTATGGCGCTATGGAGTCCAAGCTAGAAGGAATCTCAGAGGTGAGCAAGTCTAGCCCCCTCATTTCGTTGTATTGCTACCCTGAGAAATCTCCATCCTGGGACTTGCCCTCATTGGTGACTCCCTCCCTGGGATCCCATTTTTAGGAAAGATTCTAGGTAGGCTTCACCTCACTCATGCCTGTATTCTCCAGAAAATCCTCCTCTTCACCTGCTAAATGACCATCCTAACCTTTCATCTCCATTGTCCCCTTTCCCTTCTTTCTAGTTCCTCAAAATGTGCTGTCTTTCTTCCCTCATTAGAATGTAAGCTCCTTGTGGGCAGGGACTCCTTGTATGCTTGTGTTTGTATCTCCAGCGATTAACACAGTGCCTGACTTATAGTGAGAGCTTACTAAAGGCTCTATATATTTTGCAGATGAGAAAACTGAAGCTAGAAAGGTTAAGTGACTTGCCTAAGACCATACTGTCTGAGACAGGATTTGAACCAGAGACTTTCTGAGGATAAGTCCAACACTCTATGCACTACTACTTGCAGTATGTAACACTGTCCCCTACTCTCACTGGACCAAACATTTTGTGACCATGTGTTTACACTTACTGATTTTGTTCAGTCATTTCAAAAAACCCCCATTTGGGGTTTTCTTAGCAAAGACACTAGAGTGGTTTGACATTTCCCTTTCCAGCTAATTTTACAGATGAGGAAAGTGAGGCAAATTGAGTTAAGGGACTTGCCCAGGGTCACACAACTAGTATGTACCTGAGGCCATATTTGGACTCAGGTCTTCCTGACTACAGCCTCAAAGCTTTATTCACTATGCCACCTAGCTGTCCCGTGATGTTCCAGCTCTGACACTTTATATTCTCAGAGTCCTCTAAATTCTAAGATTCTGTGATTCTTTGATGTGGGAGAATCATTAAAGCAATGGGTAAGTTCTCCCAGGGGGATGTCACATGAACTCTAGGGATACCAGACAATTTTTTTTTTTAAAAAGTGGATTGAAAGTTCAATATGAGTTAGTGATGTTATGTGCCAAAAAGCTGATATGATATTGCGCTGCACTGGGTGGTATAGGTGTCAGGAATAAGAAGGTCCATCCCTCTGTGCTCTGTTTTGATCAGATAGCCTTGTTCAGCTTTGGATGCCCTTCTGATAAGCTGGAGGACATGGAAGGGAGAGCAGCTAGGGTGATAAAGGGTCTGGAGTCCACGCCACATAAGGATCAGTTGAAGGAACTATGGGCGGGGATGTATTTGGTTTGGTGAAAAAGTACTTAAGGGAAACATGGTAGCTACGTCCAAGTGTTTGAAAGGCTACTGTGTGAAGGAAGGATTACCCATGTTCTGTTTGTCTCCTGAGGGCAGAACTGGAAGATACAGAGAGAAATCACAAAGAGACAAATTTAGGCTTGATTTTAGGAAAAGCTTCATAATAATGAGAATGTATCTAAATGGAAAGATGCTAAGTTCTCTTTCCTTGGAGGTCTTCAAGAGCAGGGATCCTTCTGGGTATATGTTGGATAAGAAGGTTGCTGAGGCTCCTTCTTACCCTAAAACACTTAAGATTCTATGGGTCAGTTCCCGGGAGGAAAAGCAGGCCATGGTGGATGACCCCTACTGTGGCCAAAACAAATTGAAAATACGATGGTTGGTGTGGTCACTTGGATCCCATGAAAATGGTAAGAGTAGCAGATAATCTCTAAGACTTTCATGTAGCCTTGGGATAACCTCTCTAGAGCTCTCAGATTACTCCCAGGTCTTTAGATCAGGAATGTCTAGATTACTTCTAGATTATAGGATTACTCTAGGTTACTCCTAGGTCTCTAGTCTAGTAATTTCGAGATTACTCTCTAGATTGCTAGGATTGCTCTAGATTATTCCTAGGTCTCTAGATTAGTACTCTCTAGATTACTCTCTAGATCTCTAGGTTACTCCTCACCTGTAAAATAAGGGGAGTTGGACCAGATGACCTCTAAGGTCTCTTCCAGGTTAAAGTATATAAAAATAATTATATAACCCCTCCTGGCTCTAATATTTTATGTTTTCTGTCTAAACATGTTATGTGCTCAACTCCTTTCCATTCCTAGTATTCTCTGTTCTAATATTCTAGGTTCTAGGTCTCTTCCAGATTTCCCATTCAATGAGTTTATGAAAAGGAGGGACTAGAGTAGATAATCTCTGAAGTCACCCCTCCTCTAACATCCTATGATACTATGATCCTCACGGAGTGAGGCGCCATTTCATAGTCTAAATCTGGAAATCTACACCACAGGTGTCCTCTGTCACTTCCACACCAGTGTTTTAATTAATTAAATCTGAACGCTATAATTCACCCAATCTGATTGATGGTGCTTGCAACACTCATCATATAGTACGGTCTTTTCATCCTTTCCACATGTCTAACCCTCGACCTACTCTACTTAAAAACAAGGATAAAGGGGCCTCGTTTCTGGCTTCTGGCCTTCACACCCATGGGCCTATTTCAGTACCTTCATCACCCCCCACCCCCTTTTCAGCTTCCTTTGGTGCCTTGTCTTCCTCCATTGGAATATAAGCTCCTTGAGGTCAGGTACTGTTTTTCTTTTTGCTTGTATTTATATCCCCAGTGCTTGGCACATTGCAGTCATTGAAATTTACTTTCCCTCTTTCCCTTCCTTTCTTCCTTCTCTCCTTCAACACAGCCCAAGCACCATCACTCCCCTCCTCAAAAACTTTCAATGGCTCCCTATTGTTTTCAGGATTAAAATACACTCTCCGTAGCCTAGCACTCAAGACTCACCACAATCTGTCTCCAACCTTTCCAGCCTTATTTCACATATTCCATATTCTAGTCAATCTAGATGACAACTAATTGTTCTCTACCCTTGAAATGCCATCTTCCACCTCTTGCATTTCCCCAATTCTTCATTTTTACTCTTCCTCATTTCTGTCCTTCAGAATCCTTACCTTCCTTCAGGGCTCATCTCTGGAACTACTGCCTCGCTTGTGTTCCCTACTGATCACACTCTCTACCTCCTCATTACTTTAGGGTCTTAACCCAGAAGTTCCTCCCTTTGCCCTCATCACCCTTTACTTTGCATTTTCTGAGCAGACATCATTGCTACCCATCATTGCCACAATGAGCTGTTTGAGGTCATGCATTTTCTTTTTAATCTTTTTTTTTATATATAACCTCAGTATCTAGCGCAGTACCATGAACATTTAGTAAACATTTGCTGAATTGAATTGCCTTGAATCTCTAGCCCTAACACCCTTTCCCTACTTCATATCCCCTGGCTTCATACCTGGATTTCAGGAACAATAGGGCCTTTCTCTGCACACGAACTTGCAAAGGCTGTCAGCGGGGAAGGAGACACGATAGGGTTGGGGCGGGCAAAGTTGCTGAGGTCACAGCTCGGGATCTCGTTCTCCTCGTGCCGCATGATGATGGTCTCCATGACAAAGAAGCGGTCCCACGGGAGCCAGAGTGTGTGCTCCTGAGTGATGAATGGCGCTCGCTCAAATCTCAGGATGATGGAGATCCCGCCATTTGTCACCAGATCAAAGCTGGAAACAAAAAAGGGAGGGCTTCAGATCAAATACTAATGAGGGGAAAAATCCTATATCAACTGAGGATCAAATCTAGTCCTCCTGCCTCCAAGTCGAACACTCCTTCCACTAGACCCAAAGTCATGCCAAGCCAGGCAATGTTTCCCGTTCTCATTGAGCATTTGTGATGTAATTGCCATCATTTTGGAGGGTAAACCTTGAAGCCCCTAGGTGACTCCGAGACATAAGAAACTGGGTATGAAATGTCGGTGTGTTTGTGAATGTCTCCTTCCCCCCTCGGCATCCCCTTCCTCAACAGAGTATTTCATAAGGTTGGCACCTGCATGTTGGGCTCCAGTGACCCTCGAAGAGAAGGCAGCCCAAGGTGCTTGACTGAAATCCATCCATCAAACTGGTCATGCCAGAACTGCAGAATGCCAGTGTTGGAAGAGTCCTCTGGGGTATCTAGTTCAGTCTATGATAGAACAGGAACTTCCCTAGCAACATCCTCAGCAAGGGATCACCCAGCCTTTGCCCCAAGACCTAGAGCAAAGCCCTTTTGGAGAGTACTCAGTGTTAGGGAGCTTTTCTTGGAATTCCTTATTCTGCTGTATGGATACCTGATGTTGTGCCTTTCGGGGCCAAGCAGAGAAAGCTAATTCCTCTTCTCACGACAGAGTAACAATTCAGGTAACAATTCCCTAAATCTTCTCCTCTCTAGGCTAAACATCCTCAGCTCCCCCAATAATCCCCAGATGGCGACACCCTCACCATGCTGGTTGCTCTCCAGTTGGCCAGTGTCCCTCCTGACACGGGCCAGCAGGATTGGGGCTTAGCAGATGCGCTTAACCGGTATGTGAAGTCCTTGGTTCACCATGTGTTTCCAAGGGTCCGTTGAATATGACTTTAATATGTGATTCCATCACTATAGACCCTTTTCACTAAGACAAAACCAGGATTCCTTAAGACTTTGTTCATTTTCATGCTTCACTACTGTTGGCAACTTGAAATGCCTGGTAGTCAGTTTTCTGGTGAAGGACCCATTCGACACTGGAATGGTTGGTATAGTTTTTCTTAGAGTATTTGCAACCCATTTCACTGGAAAATTAGGGATTTTTTCTACTATTATTTATGCCAGTACAAAACAATGCCTTTGGGAGACCAGACAGGTGAACATGGGGAGTAACAGTTCTCATTTCTATGGCCCTTTAGGGTTCCCTTAAGACAATTCTCTCTTCTCTCTCTCTCTCTCTCTGTGCGTGCATGTGTGTGAGTGTGTGTGTGTGTGCAATGATAGTGTCAGGTTTATGATTCTACCTTTCTGACACTTGTCTGATGTGACATCTCCCAAAACCCTGGGGTCTTTCATGCATTGATAGATTCTCTAAACGCTAGCTTGAGGCAGTGCCTAAGGTAGTACTCTGCGGAAAATTGTGTGTGTGTGTAAAGGATTGAGAAAATTGGGCCTAAATCTCATAGTGATAAAAAAGGGTACACATGAATCAGACTTGTACCTAATTTCACATTATTATTTTAAAAAGAGAGAAGGTGTGGCCTTGTGGATAGAAGGCTGGCCTCAAAGCCAGGAAGATGTGGTTTCAAGTCCCATCTCTGACACAGTGTACTAGTCATGTGAGCTGGGCATTTAACCTCCCAGTGTCCCCAGGTAATTCTCTGAAGCTTTTAAGTGCAGAAGAGGGGTTGACCTGCATGGGTAGAGAGAGCTCCATTACCTGGGAGTTCCCCATACCAAAGAATAGTCCCTATCCATATTCTTCTCTTAAAGGGGAAAAAAATCTATCTGGAGCCTTCATGGTATAGTAGATAGAGCCTTGGATCCAGAGTCAGAGAACCTGGGTTCAAATTCTGCCTCCATTACTTACTACCTGTGTGAGTGACTTCAGGCAAGTTGCTTCACTATGCTGTGGCTCAGTTTCTTCATCCGTAAAATGAGAGGGTTGGATGACATGATCTCTAAGGTCCCTCCTGGCATTAGATCTTCTGATCTCTGTCTCTGAAATTTTTTTTGTGTGAGGCAATTGGGGTTAAGTGACTTGCCCAGAGTCATACAGCTAGTGAGTATTACATGTTTGAGGCCAAATTTGAACTCAGGTTCTCCTGACTCCAGGGCTGGTGCTCTATCCACTGTGCCACCTAGCTGCCCCTGAAATTTTCTTTACAGAACCCTGTTCACGGTACTTTATCATAACAAAAGGCTTTTGCTAATGATCACATTAGCTCATTTGAGTGTCCACAGGAACATCATGAAGTACACAGCCCAAATATCTTTATTTCCTTTTTACAAATGAGAAAACTGAGGCCCAGGGCACTGCTGTGACCCAGGTCTCAGACTCACAGCCACTCAAGAGTTAGGAGAAATCACAAACTACATAGATTTACTGAGCACCTACTGTGTGTACAGCGCTATTCTTAGACCTCAAAGGTCAATTAGTCCATCCCGTACCTGAAAAAAAATTGCTTGTACTCTTTGTGACAAGTACTTAACCAGCTTCTGCAAGGCTACTCTACCCTGATGGCTTCCGGCTTCCTCATCCTCAGGCTGCCTCTTTCTTTTGCAGAGTAATTTTGTTATTTACTATTTTGGGCACACACTTGGATGATAAAATTGGTGACTAATATCCAGAAGGCCGAACTCCCTCCCTACCACAATTGGGACTCCAGGGAAGATGTCTGATTTGAAATACCAGGTAGGGCTTTAGCTTCCCAGACCTACTCCTTTAAAAAAGATTCTGAGAACCTGCTGTTGCTTCTCAGGGGGCTGAACAGCCTTTGTGTGTTGACGAGGACGTTTTTAACAGTTAATTAGCATTTGGCCAGTGCTACAACCAGACAGGGAGAAAGCTCCCTTCACATGAGGATGTACACGAGAAAAGATGGAACAAATTACGTGTGTGTGTGTGTGTGTGTGTGTGTGTGTGTGTGTGTGTGTAGGGGGGAGAATCCCATCCTACAGGCTCTTGGTAAGACAGACGCCTTCTGGGTTTATTCTTAAAAACATCTTCCCTTCCACGGGACAGGCACAGAGAGCTGCAGGAAGAGCTAGGCTCTAATGAGAGGGGACCAGGCTCATCAACCTACAGGGAGAAATCTGGCTTCAGGTACGGACATCAAATGTAAGACAAATGGAGAGGCATCAATCTCATGTCAGGCTTGGGAAGCAGAGAACCACCAGAAGTGGTGACATTGTAGCAAGAGAGGCTGCCACTCCTAAGTGTCAGGTGTTGCCTTGATGGAACCTGCCTGCCTTTAAAGAATGCCATTCATGGCCCTCAGAGGGTCAACCAGAGAACGGACAGGGAAGGCAGGAGGAGGGGAGGAAAGATGCTTTGAATCCCGTTCTCAGCTCTCCCACCCATTCTCCTCTACAACCTTAGTGGAGGTGCCGCTGTGTCAACAAAATGGGGACATCAATACCTGCACTGGACTTGAGTCCTATATTTGGGACAGATCCGCAGCTGGAAGGGGCTTCCAAGATCACTTTATCTGATTCCACTCATCTTAGAGAAGCTAAAACTGAGGGCTAGGGAGTTCCCATGGGTCAATGGCAAAGCTCAGATTCCAGCATTGGGGCCCTGACCCCAAATTCAATGCTCTTTCCTTTAATACCACAATACTCTGTATTTACAGAATCCTAAGATCATTTATTCAGGAGAAAAAACATTACAGATCTTTGAATCCAACTTTCTCTTTTTATAGATGAGGAAACTGAGGCATAGAGAGGTAATGTATCCAAACACAAAAGTGAAGAATTTTCAGACTCTTTTATTAAGCTCCTTGTGAGTAAGGATAGTTTCCTTATTTGTATGTGTAGCCCTAGTGCCTAATAGGTACACTAAATAAAATTTTTTTTTTTTGCTTTTTGGTGAGGCAGTTGGGGTTAAGTGACTTGCCCAGGGTCACACAGCTAGTAAGTGTCAAGTGTCTTAGGCTGGATTTGAACTCAGGTCCTCCTGACCCCAGGGTCAGCGCTCTATCTACTGCATCACCCTAGCTGGCCCCTAAATAAAAATTTCATTGGTTGGCCGTCCGTATCTAGGTATACCTAGGCCAGCTAGGTGGCATAGTGGATAGAATGCTGGAGTTGGAGTCAGGAAGACCTGAGTTTAAAACCTGCCTCAGATACTGGGGAAAGTAATAGCATCTGTAAAATGGGCACCTAATTACCGGGTTGATGTGAGGACAAAATCAGGCAATATTTGTAAAGAGCATTATAAACTTTAAAGTACTATATCTAACTGAGCAGCATCTTATGGTGGGAGGGGCCCAGTGATACCACCTTGTCAGGGGCAGGAAAAACTCTGGGATCCCGTGACAGTGTAGGGAGGGAGCAGGGCACAAACCAAATCCATAGTGTAGTAGGGGGTAACCCCACCCTAATTATGGCACAGAAGGAGATGACAGTGTCTCTCTTGTCAGTCCCTGGCTGCCCCATCATGCCCTGTTCAGGTCACCATATTTAAGGAGGGACATGAATAAGCTACAGCACATTTAAAAGAAGGCATTCAGGATGTGAGATGACTGTAAATGACGTCATACAAGGGTTGGTTGAAGGACCTGGGGAGGCTTAGCTTGGAGAAGATTTGGGCACTGGGGACAGCTCTCTTCCAGTAGGTTAAGGCCTGCTATTGTGGAGGGATTTGATTTGTGCTCTCTGGCCTTCTAGTGCAGTAATGATTAGGAAGTAGAATGTAGCTTGATATAAGGAATAACACCTTATCCCTGAGAGCTAAGTAAAAAATGGACTGGGCAATATCATAAGGTAATGAGTTCCCCATCACTGGAAGTCATCCAACGAGGGTTAGAGGATGGCTTTTAGGAGAATTTGAAGATAGAATTCTTTATCTGGGGGAGGATTAGACAAGATGTTCTTGCAGGACCCTTATCTAGCATCATAGAAACAGCCTTCAGGAACAGGGTGATCACGTATAACTGCCTTGCACTAAGACCTCCGGGAGGCCTTCTCCCTCTGCATGGGCCGCCACTGAGCCCTGGTACAGCTTTTAAAGTTGGATCAATGGGACATTAACATAGGGAAATGCTGCCTATATCGGCTTCAGGGGGATATCACTTGCTGTCCGGGCTGCAAAGTTCATTCATTAAATGGGAGAATTCATTGGTCCCAAAAGAACGCTTGTTAACCAAATTTTCACTGTCCCCCATTTCCTCTTGGAAGGTTCCTGAATGAGAAGGTGCTTTTTTTTCTTAACAAAAAACTTGGTTCTTAACAGCCAATCCCCCACTTCATTATCACCCTGGCCAGGACAAACTCAAGCCTGGTAGTCAATTAAACAGGTGTTAAAAATCAATCAGGCTGCGGCATTATCTCTAACAGAAGGGTGAGAAGAAACTTTCTGGATACACGATTTAGCCAGATGGACCTTCTCTCACCTCAGTTTATTAAAACAGAAAACCCATCATTACTGACAGGACAAATATTAGAGTCTCCATCCCTCTCCCAGCAAGTAGCACTTATCACTTGTGTGGAAAGGCAGCACAGAGTAAGAATTAGACCTGAGTTCTCTGCCCTAATGAGCTGTGCAACCTTGGGGAAGTCACTTCCTTGGCCTCAGTTTCCTCATCTGTAAAATGGGGGATGGTAATACTTGCACTATCTACCTGACAGGGTTCTTGTGAGCAAATTGTGAGTAAAGTATGCCTTTTTTTTTTTTTGAGGCAATTGGGGTTAAGTGACTTACTCAGAGTCGCAAAGCTAGTAAGTATCTGAGGCTGAATTTGAATTCAGGTCCTCCAGACTCCAAGGCTGGTGTTCTATCCACTGTGCCACCTAGCTGCTTTGAGTAAAGCCTATCTTGATGCACTTTAGAAACGTAAGTTGTCAGTAGTAGCAATAATCATCAGCCTTTAATTGTAAAAGTGCTTTGTTAATTTTAATTTTAAGTCTTTACTTTTCCTTAATGATACTCTGGCACATTTAAAAAAGGATCAAGTTTATGATCTAGCGATTCTAAAAGGCAGAGGTGAGTAAGGGGTGCAGTCCAGACATATGTCACAGCCTGGGCAAAGGAAGGCAGATGAGAGATGACATGCCAAGTTTGGAAAACAACTAGGGCAGGGAAGTTTGAGTCTAACACATATGGGATGTGGGAAGGGGAATAATCTGAAAAAAGATTGGAAGGTAGGTGAGAGCCAGAGTAGAAAAGGTTTTTTTTTAATGTCCTTGGATTTTTATCCTAGAGGTAAAGGATATCCTAGAGGTAAAGGGAGTACCACTGGACATTTTTGAGGAGGAGAGTGACATAGTCATACGGTGTCTGAAGTGTTTCTCAACTCCCTAGATTCGATGATGATAAATTGCTAATTAAATCAACTACTGAGTAAAACACGGCCCGATCAATGCCAGGGCCAGACCCTGGCCCATCAGTTAATGTACTAGCCAGGCCAATTCTCGTGATAGCTTCAATCTATGCAGTTTCTGATGTAAGAGCAACTATAGTGGGAGCTGGGCTGGCTCTCTCACATAATGAGGTAGATGACAATGATGTCCCATCTTTGCAAAGTCATCTCAAAGACATGTTGACTTGAGGGCTTATGTGTTCGTGCCAGCTTGTCCACCCTCTTGCCCAGGAACCGTTGTGACTGATATTATGCATCAGGTGGTCAGAGTTTAAGGTGCAACCAATAGCCACCATAGGGCTGTCCTTCCGTTTTGACTTTACTGACGTCCTTTCCGTCCTTCAAGGTCTGCACAAATGTCACCCCCTCAGGAACCTTCCTTAGATTCCTTCCTCTTCCTCTCTCTCATCTGATCTGAGAGCCCTTTGTAACCTTCTACCATGATGCACACATCATTCAATTCAATTCAATGAACATTTATTAAATACTAGACTTGGAGTCAGGACTTGGGTTCATATACCCCAGCTCTGATTCTGACTCTTCTGTTAGAACGAGGGTTCTTTGTCTTTTTTGTGTTATAGATCCCTTCGGTCACTTGGTGAATCCTACAGACTACTTTTTTTTTTTTAATTCATAACTGAAGGAAATGTAAAATTTCAATAAGAAGTTAGTGAAAATCAATATCCAAGTTTAGAGATCCCCTGAAATCTATCCAAGTACCCCCAGGCCCATCCTGGGGGTTCATAGACCCTAGGTTAAGAATCCCTGAGTTAGAATGTAAGCTTTTTGGGAGTAGGGGATTATTTTATTTGTTGTATTCACAGTGCCTGGCCACTTAAGGAATACTTGTCAACTGATTGAACCACATGTGACTTTTCTAAGCTTCATTTCCTTCATCTATAAAATGGGACTAATAATTCTTGCTCTAACTACCTTATGGAGTCATTGTGAGCAAAATATTTTGTAATGCTTAAAGTTGAATATAAATAGGAGATAAGATAGGATATTACCATGTAAGGCCAGGAAGAAATAAGATACAAAGACTATCTCAATACTCAAAAGATATCAAAATAAACATTTCAGGTTGAATGCTCATCTGTGTACATATCTTTTCTCATACTGCTAGACTATAAGCTCCACGAGGGCAGAGCCATGCCTTAATTATTGTCCTGCTTCTCTCAACACCTAGCACAACAGTACACTGCTTAGCACACACTTAATCTAGAGTTGTTGAATGAATGAAGGAATGAACTAGTCCTGACCGTTCCCACTTAAAAACCAATTGAGGAGTTTGGTCCCATTTACATCATGTTCCATTAGCAGCAAAACAATCAGAGTAAGGCCAGAAGGTCACTGAAAACAGGCCTTCACATCCTGCTGGCTACAAAGAAACCCTTACCTGCCATCTTGTCTGCTGATGGTATACCCAAACAGAGGGTTGTTGACAAAACTGATGTTCACACCAACCAGTGGAGTTCCATCGGATGTCATTACTTGGCCTCGAATGACGCAGGCATGCCTTAAAGGGTAGAAGGAGGTTGGGGGAGAAAAAAATAATGCTGTTTAAGAAAAAAAAATGATCCATTCCAATTGTACAGATAGGACACTCATAGCATCTACACACATTTATTAAGCATCCATTGTTTGTGGGGCAACTCAATCTGCATTAAGGGAGAGACCAAATTTAGTTAAGGTGTAATTTCTGCTCTTACAGAGCTCAAAGTTTAGCAGGGGAGATAAGGAACCAAAACAACTATAAAAACCAATAACACATCCTAAATATGTGAGAGAGGTTAAAAAATATGTTGTGTGATCTTTAAGGTCATTACTAATTAGTGGGGAATCAGCAAAGTGATCTTGGGTGAGGCTGTATTTTAGTTATGCTTTATACATTAGGAAGAAAATCAACACATGAAGAGGATAAGGGAGGGCACTTCAGGCACAGAGAACAGTACAGGCAAAAGTGTTGGGATGTGAAAATACAATGTGTGTTCTATGGGGCAGGAGTTTGAGAGTACTTTGGCTAATGTAGAGTCAAAGAGGGAAGTAATATGTTATAAGGCTTTGAGGGTAGGGATCTGGGCCTTAAATTCCAGGCAGAGGAAACTAATATCAACTAGGGTCAAGGATTGCTGGAGCCAATTGTTAAATTTTTAATGTGATCATTTATACTTTGGAAATCAGTAAACATTACAAATCAGGGCTCAATTTACTGTTTTGTGGATTGTCTAGACTTAAGAAAGTGAGGGAAAATGTTAATAATGCAGATTAAACTTGAAAGTGTTTCCTGTATACTTTCCCTCCCTCATTCCTCACCCTAAGAGCTGGTTGTTAAACATTTACTAGCACAAGTATAGGAATCAAGAGAGAACCACTAAGGATTTTTAAGCAGAAACGTGACATGACAAGATCTTTGTGTAAGAAAAATTATTCATCAGTGGTATGGAGGATGGATTGGGATGGGGGAGGGGTGGTGGTGATCAGAAAGACAGTAAAGGAGGAAAGGACTATTAAGAGGCTATTGTGAATTACGTAAAGTAAATAAAATGTCTATACCCTTTGAACCAGAGATGTCATTACTTGTGTTTATAGCCCAGGGAAGCCTTGACAAGAAAAAAGTCCTCACCTACTCCAAATTATTTATAGTAGCCCTTTCTGAGAAAGCTAACAACTAGAAACAAACTAGATGCCCATCAATTGGGGAACACTTAAACAAACTGTGGTCCATGAATATAATGGGCTATTACTATGCCATAAAAAAATTGTGTGTGTAATGAATATAAAGAAGCATGGACAGATCTCTGTGAACTGATGCAGAGAGAAGTAAGCAGAACCAAGAAAACATTATGTGCAATAACTCCAACAATTCAAGTGGAAAGAACAACATAAACACAAAAAACAAACAAAAAAATTAAGAATAACTATAACAAAACTATAGATATCAAGTGGGACTCTAATGAAGATATATAAGAAGACCCCCTAGACCTACCCCTTTGGGGAGGTGGGAGATCCATGAGTTTCACACATTTTTGGACTTTCTCAATGTCTCAATCAGTTGTGCTGACTTTTTTCTGTCTCCCTGGAAAATCCTATTTATCATATGTGATGGCTCTTGGAGTCAGGGAGAAGAAGGACTCCATGGCATACCATCAATAATTTTTTAAAAAGATACTATCGTACTGGCAGGCAGTAATGAAAGCTTGTACTATGGTGTTGGCCGTAGGAATAGAGAGGCTGAGACAGAGCTAAGAGGTACTATGAAAGAACCAATATCTATTCTCTTTCAAAGGATAATAGATTTACAGCTGAAAGGGACCTCAGAAGTCATCTAGTTCAATGTCTTCATTTTGCAGAAAAGGAAACTGAGTCCCAGAGAAGTAAAATGGGGATAATAACAACATCTACCTCCCAGGGTTGTTGTGAGGATCAAATAAGATGGTAATTGTACAGTGCTTAGCAGTTTCTGGCATATATAATATATATATATATATATATATATATAGTATTATATTATATTAGCACAGTTTCTGGCATTTATATAAGGGCTATAAAAATGTTAGCTATTATTATTATTATTATTATTATTAGTAGTAGTAGTAGTAGTAGTAGTATCATTATTATTACTATTATAACTAGCCCCAACTCACATAGGCAGCTAGGAGCAGAATCTGTATCCACATCTATTATACCATGACATCTCTCTAATGAGACTCTCATCTTAGAGGTTACAGTCATTATAGTTGTGGAACAATTAATGTTGGCCACTCATGAACTATTTTCCTGTGATCAACTCTGGTTCCTTCACTTTTTTCTGAGACCTCATGGGATTAGAGAAGAATGAGTCATAATCTTCTTCTACTCATAATATCTTGTAGTAAGATCCCCCTCAGGAGAACAACTATTAAGAGGTGTTTGTTTGCAAATATCTCCTGCAGAGTTTAATTTTCTGGAGATGCTAGACATTACTGTGAAAACCAGATATTAATAATAATAACTCACATTTCTGTGGTGCTTTATGGTTTAAATAGTACATGACTCACAGGAACACTAAGAGATAAACAGTACAAGCAGAATTATCCCCAGTATACAGATGAGGAAACTGAGTCACATAATGAATTTAGAAGATAGAGTTACTCTTGACTTGGCAACTTGCATCCAAAAAAACCCCCAAATGGCCCAGAGAAAGATGGTTGAGGTTCTTTGCTTCCAGCTTTGGAAGTAGCAGGAGAGGATGCCCACTTTTGAAAGGGTCAACTTTGGATCCAATAAAGAATCATAAAGTCTTAGAGGGGAAATGGTCTTAGAAGTTTAATCCCTTCATTTTTTACAGATGAAGAAAGTGAAGCCCCGAGAGATTTAGTTCTGAGTTTCACATTTCTGGAAGGGAATTGGTAAGCTGGATCATGTCCAGAAGAGGGTGACCAGGATGGTGAGAAGACTGAAGATTATACCATATGGAGAATGAAGGAACTGGGGCTGTTCACTTGGGGGGAATGATTGCTCTCTTCAAGAATTTGGAGGGCTGTCCTATGGAGAGAGACTGGGCTTCTTCTCCTTGTCCTCCAAAGGAAGGAGTGGGTAGAAATTGCAAAAGGGCAGATCTTGATTCAGTGTTAAGAACATCTTCCCTATGATAAGAGCTAGACAAGAGTGGTACAGGTTGCATGGTCTCTGGTCCTCTCGTCATCCTAGTTGCCCTTCCTTGGAAACGTTCCAGCTTGTCAATGTTCCAAAAGACAAATCTGCACGCCTGCCTTCCTGTGTTCCTTGACACAGCTGAGCACTGGGCCTCTGTTTCTTTTATTGACTTATACATTTCAAATAAATCTGTCTTTCTTCAGTGTCGAGTAGCTCTTAGCCAAGTCTACCTGCCATCTCCCCTCGTGCCCTTCCAGGGACTGTAACAATTGCTTTATTTACACCCTATGAGGAAAACTGGCTCCCCCAAGGCGCATATTTTCCAAAGAATAGTAATAAAGAGGCCTGGACAGCATGCATAAATTTGAAGTCTGTTAAAAAGGTCTGAGTCTCAGGCCCTGCATGATTAGATCCTCAAATCTTTACTTCCCTGGGTGATAAACCTGTCCCTGTTTAGGGGGAAAAACAATTAACACCAGGCTTGTAAGCAGCTGGCCTCTCCAGTGTCAACTTGTCCTTTCTAGAGGCAAGATCGACTACCCACAATGCATCAAGCCCCCCAGGAATCTGACTAATGCTAATTTCGTCAGCCATTTCCTTTTCAAAGACCTTGGTCTCAATGCAATTACATGGCAAGTGAGCTAAGTGGTGTGGCAGGTTCCTCATCCCACCTGGGAGGCCTCCCGATCTATTTATGTGAAATTATCTCTCCTGTTAATGGGGGAGACTGATGCCATCAATCATCCTTCAACGGCACTGAAATATGTTTCCTGTCATTAAGGAAAATGGAATTGCTCATTGTTCGAACTACATCATCTGAAGCAGTTCACAGGGTTTAGAACTAGGGAGAGAACACAGCAATCACCAACTTCTTCATTTTACATATGGGGAAACTAAGTCTCAGAGATGGTAAGCATCTTCCCCAAGGTCAACCAGGTATGAAGTTTGAGAGGTAAGATGTGAGCTGTGGGCATGGTATCCTAGATTTAAAACTAGAAAAGACTTTAGAAATGGTTTAGCCCAACTCTTTCATTTTATAGTGGAGGAAACCATGGCCCAGCAAGGATAAGAGATTTGGCCAAATAGATAAATAGCAGGGCCATGGTTTGAACTAAAGCCCTCTGGCACTGAATTCTATTCTATTTTCACTCGGTGAATCATGAACTTGGTGAATCTCTCCTCCCCGCTCTGTGTTATCTTCCAGATTTCCTTGAACAGTCTAACCCTTTAGTTCAAGGAACTACAATAATCTCATCTCTAGGGGCAGTTTCTACTTTTTGGTTTGTCTCTGCCCCTCCCCTTCCTGGCTATACACAACACGCTGTCTTTCCTCTTTATTTTTCCTTGGGGATTTTTCTATAATTGATAGAACTCTAAATCAGACCTGGCTTGGTCTCATGTAACCTCCATGAAAGCAGATTGGAGAAGAGGAAATTTTAGATCAGTCTCCTATGAAGTAACTGAGCATTCAGAAGGAAGATTAAGTTGACTTCCACCCATTCCCCTGTGGGCAATAGCAGGCCTCTAGCCAACACAGGCATGTGGGCCAAGTCTCAAAGCAAAACACAACCATTCCTTTTTTTTTTTTGTCTCAATAGTGCTTTTCCGAAATAGGAACAACTGTATCCCAACATTTAACCATCATAGGGAAAAAAGAGAAGTGGGAGTGACCTTTTAGAGAAGGCACTAGAAATGTATCCCTTGGTTTTCTTTTGTTTAGCTTGACTGGAAACCATTTAACCTATGGGGGACCTCCTGTCTCCCTCAGCCTAAGAAATAGGTCTGCAGTATCAAAATGGCAGATCACCTAGGTCAGGCTCCATTAGTGTAACCCAAGAGTCTCATTCTCTTGTCTTCCTTACATACTTAAGTACGTAAGAA